AAATAAATAAAAGGAAGAAAATGGCCTAGGGAAAAGAAATGAACAAACAATACAAAAAAATAATCATAGACACAGAGAATAGATTGGTGGTTATCAGAGGGGAAAGGAACTGTGGGGTGAGAGAAAAGGGTGAAGGAGGTCAATTGTATTGTGATGGATGGTAACTAGACTTATTGTGGTGATCACTTTGTAGGGTATACAGATATCAAATTATTATGTTGTACACCTGAAACTAATATGTTACATACCAATTTTACCTCAATTAAAAATATATTTGCTCAACTAATGAATCATTGAACATTATATCAAAAACATGATGTACTATACCTTGGCTAGTGGAATTTAAATAAAAAAAAGAAAAAAAAAATATTTGCTATACATTCCAGGTACCTGACACTAGGTGGAGTAGCATAAACACAGTGCTAGACATCTAACCTACCAAATGTCAAAAGCTGTGAGCCTTGCCCAGACAGTCTGCAAAAGAGGGTGTGAGTCAATTGCAGAGATTAGATTAGAGCTAACACAGACTCTTGTAATTTCTGCTCCCCTAAATCACCTGTTTGTTACTTTTCTAGAGAGCTTATCTGTAATTAATACTATTGGGGGGTGGAGTCGCTGAGAACTTACAGTATCTTAGTCCCCAAAGGTTGTCAAAGACAAATGGAAAGGCTATTAACATAAGAAGAGAGCACACCACCTCTCAGATCTGTGAAAGCCTGTCCACAACTCATTGTAGCCTACTCCCTAAGTTCATATGGCTAACCAACCAAGACAGTCACATGGGAGCTCATTTCCACCAGTTCAGTCCATCTTCAAGATGAAAAGTGTGTACAACAATAAATGTTTGTTCTCTAAAATTCCCAGTGATCTGGAAGTAAGAAAATAAAGTTAAGGTTTTGTCCTTCTGACCAAGGTTCCAGTCCTCAAAGCCACACTGTTCTTAGTAAGATTGTCATTAGAAAAAATTGAAGAGTCCATTGTGGCCTCTAATGAGAAAAGGGGGTAAGTGGCTTTTGTTCATAGCATTCATCTTATGAGCTTGTCTCTAATGGAATTGTGACAAACTTTCACCATAAAACATTTCAGTATCAGTAAAAAAAGAGAAAAAATCAGACTTGAGCCAGAGGAAAGTGAATGAGGGATAGTGAGGATGTATAAAACCATGTCAAAGGGAGAGGAGACATAGTCAAAGGAAGTCAGGATATTTAGTATGGAAAGAAACAAGAAGAGCAAATTTAGGGGTACCACTATCCCTTTCTTTCAATCTCTGAAGATCTTTAAATCTCAAAAGATTAAGAAGCAAACTTTGTTATGTGAGTCCAAAGGGCAGTGACAAGACCAATGTTTTTTTTTAAGATTTTATTTATTTATTTGAGAGAAAGAGAGAGAGCATGAGCAGAGGCAGGAGAAGAGGGAGAGCGAGAATCTCAAGCGGACTCTGTGTTGAGCACGGAGCCTGATGTGGGGTTTGATCCCATGACCCTGAGATCATGACCTGAGATGAAATCAAGAGTTGGATGCTTAACCAGCTGAGCCACCCACATGTCCCAAGACCAGTGTTTATTTGTGTGCTAAGGTGGAACAGCTAGAGAGTTGGGGAACCTACTCTGGTTTCTGCTCAAAGGAGAAAATTCATGATTTCTTGGGAATCTATTTGAAGTCAAACCAGAAAATACAGTTTGTTATGAGCAACATATTCAATATAAACACAGTGATCACTTGCTGATTGGCTTACCTTTACTTTTTCAGATGAAAGTAAGCAGAAATGACATGGGGACTGGTTGATGAGTTCCCCACCAGTGGGAGTACAACTGAGGGCCAAGGTCATGTGTGTTCATGTAAAGACAGGAGCTTTCAAGCACTTCCAATATCATGGTAAATTTGCAAAAGGAAAACATAATTCTGTTCACCTTTGGTTTCAAAGGGTAACATTGGAAGGAAATTGGATCCCCAAATCAAATAAAGCACCAAGAATCTGAAAACAGTTGTTAAACACAGGGGGGGGTGAGGCCCTTTTATCTCTCCATTAATTCATGTCTCACATTTGTCTCTCCTGAGAAGACTGTGAACTGGGCCTGGACTGTGAATTGTAGCCCTCACCAATTCTAGTCTAATTCACTGGTCTTTTCATTGAGTTAAATGAAAGAGCAAATTCCTAATCATTCTTTCACACAGAGAAGCTGGAGTAGTGAGTGGACACTCTCTTCTGTGTCTCGGACCCAAGACCTTAGATTTCTGGGTGACTTTTATCTATTTGTATTTTACCCATTTATCCTTTCTTGCCTTTTCCTTCAATCTTTTTCTAATTATCTCCTCTCCTCTTTCTTTCTTCCCTCCTTCTTTACTCTCCCTCCCTTTTATTTTACACCAGTGTACTAGACCAAACTTCCCAATTCTCTTTCCCTGCTGCAAAGCCAGGGAAATTTCTGAAGCTTGGGTGAGCCCTAATTAATTGGGAAAGCAGCTTCTCCCCACTGTTTCCTTCTTAGCAATCAAAGGGTACCTTTTAAGTGAAAGTGAATAGTTGAGAGAGAGGAGGAACATCAAATTTCCATAAAACCTCCTACATTCCTCAGGCAGCTTGCTTCTTGCTACTATTGGGCACCTTTAGTCAGATGCTTTTTGCTTGGCTTTAAAGTCAGAGTTCCTAGTTAGTAGAAAGAAAAAATTCAGAATTTGTATGGTCCCATACCCTCATCGTACAAGAGAGCAACTAAAAGTAAAACAGTCTTGTTCAAGTTATTCAGAAAGTCAGGGGCAGAGATCCAGAACCCAAGCCTTGCCATCTTAGCCCAAGACTATTTGTTATAGCCATTTCCCTTTCTCCCTACAGTGACCACTTTCCCCTGGGTGGTCTCCTGCAATTTAACTTTACCACCAGTATTTTTTCTCCTTTTTTTTCTGTGGTCTGGGTAATCTGTTTTTAGTCTGTTTAACTATCTTACAATTTTACAATTATATTGGTTTAGAAAGTTGTTCTGTATCTAACTGTGTCCTGTCTAGAATACTCGATTCAAATGTAATTGTGGTCTCTTCCATTACTTAGTTAAATTTGTTTTATGTACTGGAAGGTAGGACAATACTTCTAGTCAATGAACCTGGGAGTGTATCTGAGGGGACAAGTCTTCAGGAGGCATGTTCTGGGTCCTGAAGTGTTATCTCTTCTTCAAGTATAGAAATGGCTCTGAGGGAAGCCTATACTCTAGATAAAAGCCAAACTACTTAAGACACAGCTCTAAGGGCGCCAGGGTGACATAGTCTGTTAAGCAACTGATTCTTGGTTTTGGCTCAGGATGTGATTTCAGAGTTGTGAGATTGAGCCCTACAGGATTGAGCCCCACAAGATCAAGCCTGGCAAGAGCAAGCCCTGCAAGGGCAGTCTCTGCATGGAACTCCATGCTCAGTGCAGAGTCTCCTTGGGATTCTCTCTCCCTCTCCCTTTGCCCCTATACCCCTGCTCATGTACATTCTCTCTCTCACTCAAAAATAAATAAATAAATCTTTAAAAATAAATAAAACACAGCCCTAATTTGAAAGACATGTTATTTGCTGATTAAGCCTGGTAGTAAGGTGTGTGTTTTGATGAATTGACTATAGTGCTGATTATTATTCTTCTTCTTAAAATGTAATGTTTGTAGATATGTAGATATATATAAATATACATCAAATCTCATGTGGACCTTATTGGTATTGGCTGTGCTACTGGTGTACTCTACTGGGGTTTGGTATGCTGGACTGAAGTGGGATTTATTTGAATTTAATATAATGATGAAGTATTTGCTAGGCTGGAATAGGCTGCCCTGTGTTCTATTTGAGGTATGCTGGAGTGTGTGGGCTAGTCTGACCTACACTGGGGTAAACAGGGCTGACTGAAGCAGGAAAAGAGAAACTTAGCAATGAAATAACTTCACTTCTCTGGGTATCAGTTTCCAACTTGGCAAATATGTGATGAGATTCATCTATCCTTACCAAAAATCTTCAGTGAGTACCGTCTGAGTAACAGACTCCTTTTCAATGTACTGAGAATATAGGGATAACAAAACAGGGACACTGCCATACAGGAGCTTTTGGGTAAGGTAGGGGAGACAGACAAGTAAATAGATAGTACAATAAAGAAAAATAAATGCAAAGAGAATGTATCAGGTGATATCAGTCATCTTCAACTCTCAGTCACTTAACCCAATGAAAGTATATTTCTCATTCATGCAAAGTCTGTTGTTGATCCAGGAGACATTTCAGGACAGTTGTCCTTCATGTGTTGGCTCATTATTCCAGCCTGTTTCAGTCTTATGGTAGCTCTATAATAACATGTTTCTATGATGACCATGGCAGGAAGGGTCTTGAATTGGACCTTAATTGTTCCAGCCAGAGAGGGACACATATAACTTCCTCCCACAACCAAAACTAGTCACATGGCCTCTCCCTATATTAAGTGGGCAGGGGAGTGGGAGGGCAATCATTCCATGTTTCTGGAAGTATTAAAGTTGGATATTAGAACATTTGTAACCTACCACAGGTAAGGGTAATCCTGGTGTGAGTATCTAGCACATATGAATATCAGTGATCTCTCAGGGCTCTTCTTAAATTTTAGAGTTTGGGGAGTCTGTTGTCATTCTCAATGATATCTAAAGGGATAAACTTTGTACCTGTACCTAGCATGTTCTCTAAACAAATATTATAGGTGAGAAGTTTTTGAGAGGTTTTCCTATCACTATGTCAAGTATCCTTTTTCAGATATAGCAAGTTAGCTGTCATTTGGAGTACTGCACTGGACTCTCTCTGAGGTAAGGGAACTGACTTTCATGACACTCTGCTTTTCTACTTTCTTTGGCCTAGATGCAGTGACTGAAGTGAAGACGGACATCTATGTGACCAGTTTTGGCCCCGTGTCAGACACTGACATGGTAAGTTATAGTTCCTGCAAAGGTAAAAGTGAAAGATGATGCAACAGATCAAAGAAAATAAATTGGAGTTTGTATCTCCTTTCTAGGGAGAAGCCTTGTCTCATATGAATTCCCTACCCTCACCATCCTACATTTGGCCAAATTCATCTTTTTCCCTGCTCTCCCAACCTATTCACATATAAAGCATATATGCTCATCAGTAATATCCTTCCCTTCTTTCCACAACACACCTTTCAAAATTAAACCTATATCCCTATCCTCAATTAAGCTTTCCCTGACTTCTCTCTTCACATTTTGTCAACACTGCACACATATTAGCAGAGTTAGGTTATGTGAGGAGAGCATTGTGGTGGGGACTCTCGGAGAGTCAAGCAGCCTGTGGTATCATCCAAGAAGTCTGTTCCTTGCAAACAGGCTCTATTCCTTGGGGTAATGGACTGACCATGGTGATGTAAAATATTTGGAGAAAGGGTCAAAGCCACTTTTGGAAACTGATCCTTCTACAGATGTGTGCAGGGGAAAGCTTCAGAGAGAATCAAGGAATAGAGCAGGGCACAGCAGAACCAGTAAGGGGAGACTCATGAGCCATCTTCAAGGACTTCTCCTTCTCCTTCCATTATCCCTTGCTGCCAAAGCAAAGAATGTAGTGGAGAGTTGAGGCAGGAGACCCCATCCTAATGGACCATCTGATCAATACCTACTAAGTATCAGATATTTGATTGAATAATTATCATGTAAGGAAACAAAGAAGTTATTATATGCTCAATATGCCTGGCAGTTAATAGATGCTCAAAGAATTTTTTCTTAAAGATTTTATTTATTTATTTGACAGAGACAGAGACAGCGAGAGCAGGAACACAAGCAGGGGGAGTGG